AAAAAAAAAAAAAAGGATAGATAGGAAATGTGTGAACAATATGGTTAAATCTAGACAATCCCTAAATTATAGGAATTGGTTACTTTCATAAGGATATAAATCCTAGAGCCTAGAATGGGGTTCACCCCTGTGCTCTGCCCCACCCACCTGTGCAACCTTGGGCAATTCATTTCCCCTTTCTGAGCCTCAGCTTCCTCTTTTATAAAGAGATAATAATAGAATTTTTGGTTTTGAAACCTAGTATCTCATTGTTGCCCAAGCTGCTCTCCAACTACAGGACTCAAGTGATCCTCTCAGCTTCCCCACTGCTGGAACTACAGGTGTGTCACCACCACACCTATACTTTCTTCTATGCAAGTACGAGCCAAGGCTGACCCTCTTAGCTTTTGAGATCAGGCACATTCAGTTGGTAAGGCCTTAGACAAAAATAGTACTTTCTAAGGGGAAGGTTGCCAAATTAAATGAGAGGATTATAAAGCACTTAGTATACTGCCTAACTTATTGTAAGCGCTCAATAAATGGTTGCTAATATTAGTTTTATATCTCCATTTGAATAATAACATTGTATCTTTTTAAAGTATTTTTTAGTTGTAGATGGGCACAATACCTTTATTTTATTTTTATGTGGTGTTAAGGATGGAACCCATTGCCTCACTGTGCAAACAAACTACTCTTCTTCTGAGCTACCATGGAAGCCTGATAACATTGTATCTTATTGATCATATTTTATGCCTGACTCATCTCCCTGGATAGAATGTAAACATTGTGGAGGAAAGAATCATGGTTTATTGTGTGTATTTTATTATTTTAATTTTTTTTTGTGTGTGTGTGTTACTGGAGGTTGAACCCAGTACCTCGATTCTGCTAGCCAAGTGCTCTACCACTGAACAACACCTCAAGCCCCATGTATTTTCTTTATGTGATTCAGATGTAGTAGATGTTAAAAATCTTGTTTAACACACTAGAATAGTTACTAATCATTAAATAGCTGCTTCAAACCAAATACTACTAAAGGGACATATTTCTGGTGTGGTGGTACATGCCTGTAATTCCAGCAATTTGAAGGCTGAGGCAGGAGGATCCCAATTTTGAAAGTAGTCTGGGAAATTTAGCAAGTCCCTAAGCAATTTAGACCATATCTCAAAATTTTAAAAAAGGGCTGGGGGCACTGGGGTTGTGGCTCAGTGGTGGAGTACTTAGCTAGCATGTGTGAGGCACTGGGTTCCATCCCCAGCACACATAAAAATAAATCAAAAACACAAAGATATTGTGTCCACCTACAATTTTTTTTTAAAGAGAGAGTGAGAGGAGAGAGAGAATTTTTAATATTTATTTTTTAGTTCTTGGCAGACACAATATCTTTGTTGGTATGTGGTGCTGAGGATCGAACCTGGGCCGCATGCATGCCAGACGAGCGCGCTACCGCTTGAGCCACATCCCCAGCCCTCCACCTACAATTGAAAAAACATTTTAAAGGGCTGTGGATATAACTCAGTGGTAAAGATGAGTTCAATTTTTAAAAAAATAGGAACATATAATTGTCTGTACTTTACAGAAGTGGAAAAAGAGGTTCCAAAGGGTGAGTAACTTATCTAGGGCCACACAGCCAATGTCAGAATTCACAAAGTCAGTTATATTTGACACCAAACCTGTCTTTTTATATGCTTCTTTATGAATTCATGGGCCCTTTTTCCATTGTAAATTTTCTCAGTTATTGCAATTAGTTGGCAGTAAAAAGGAGAAAAGTCCATATATTCAACATTTCCCAGCCAATGGTAATAGGAGTAGGACCAGTATTTGGCCAGTCTTCATCAGCACAGCTGACTAATCACATGGATTGCAACCCACACATACCCATACATGCTTCCTTTGTCGGCTTTCTAGACTGGTCTATCAAAAACTAAGATAGATCTACTGCCCTATTAAACTCAGTGTTAGGCTCCCAACCTTAGTGTTACAAACTCCATATATGTCTCCATGAGTAACTGACATTTATTAACTACTTTCTATATAGATAGCCCTACCAAAAAAAAATAGTATAGCCATCAT